TTAATTACAAATCTTTGGAAAATAAATATAAAAAATTATTCCCTTAAAAAAAAAAAAAAACTTTTTCAGTACTGAGATTGAACCCAGGGTTTCACGCATGGCAGGCATGCACTCTACATCAAGCTACAACCCAAGTCCTCTAAATTTCTTCCTAATAATGGAAGCCTTATTCTGTACATAAAAGAATATTTGTCAATACACATTCAATATGCACTGATTTGATAAATATACAAGAGTCTTTTAGAGAGGGAAGCAGTAAAGAGTGGAGACAGCTATTCCAGGCTACCTTTGTTGAAAAAGGTAAGAGATAAAATGATAAGAACCTAAGATAGCATCAAGACTGGAGAAACTGCATTTTTAAAGTTTGAAGAAACTAAGCATTATCTCAGACTAGCTTCATTAAACTTTCCCTCTAATTCAGATTCAATCATAAACTAGATGTATGAACTTGGGCAAGTCACTTAATGTCTCTAACCCTTAGTTTTAACACCTACAGTGGTGATAATGTCTCTCCTGTATATATTTAAGAAAATCAAAAGGCTTAGTTATAAATATAAAAATGTCTTACAGACTGTAAAATAGAACATAAATGAAATATTTATAAAAATCTAAGAATTAAGTGATGGGAAAATAGCAAAAATATACTGATAGTATATTATCTTATAAATCATTAAGTATATTATCTTACAGATTATTATTTGTGATAAAACCGAAGGGGGAAAACTAGTCTTTCTGAGGTAAACATAGGAAATATGATACTCCCCCCAACAGTGAATCAATACACATTTACTCATTGTTTTTCAAACCTATTCTGGTTGTCCTTTTACACTTTATCCCCATATGTCAACAAGGTGCCCCCAAAATGATACTATTACTTTTATCTGGACAGATCAAAAAATAATTCATTTACTTAACTGGTTCTAAGCTATCATTTGCATGCTCCTTCATGTATCTAGGGCACTTTGATCTTCCTGAATAGAATGTTTACTAGATTGTCAGTTTCTGTGTGTATATGTTCACATCCACTAGCAGAATTTCATCAACTTCCACTATGATTAGATTTACAATCCTGTGTTAACTACAAGTAACAAATCTCTCATAAACTTGAATTATTTCAACAATTCTTTTTTTTTCCTCTTGTAAGTAATCTTGGTTTATGTCTATAGCTATTTAGTTTTGTATTGCCAATATTCTAAAATAAAGACTACTTTTTCACTTTTTTTAACTAAGACTATATACAATTTAAGCTTATGAAACTATCTTGCTCAGTTTTATAATTAAAAGAAAAATCAGAAGGAAAAATAGAGATAATAAGATAATGCAACCTGTTTTAAGTATTTCCCTCTTCCTTTCTTTAGTCCCCTCAATTCTCACTCTGAATGATCTAGATATATTTCAGTGATCATCAGAAACACAGCACAGATCTTTGGGTATCAAGCCCAATGCTAAAGTTACAAAATAGATGGAGATAACTTAAACCCTGCCCTCCAAGCACTGGCAGACTATAGAGATCACCTGTCAAACACCATTCTAGTGTGCTAGAAGCAGTTACAAATACAGCACAAATACCAAAACTAATAAATACCAAAATATAAGCATGTACTCAAAATTATGGAAGCATAAAGGGAAAAATTAAAAAGTACTACCTGTATAGCTAAAGATGGTACAAAAAAAAAAAAAAGGGAGAAACTAGCTAGAAAGAATTTTTCAAAAACTCAAGACATTTCATTTTTAGGATATCAAGTGTACAGTAAATGAATTATTGTCCTTTGTTGAACTGCATTTTAACCAGAATTATACTGGACAAAAGTTTAGTTTGAAAATTAATACACCTTCAGAACATCCTTAAAACTTTCCCTCATTACCTCACCACACAAATGTCTCTACCTACTATTTATCCTGCCTTCTTTCCCAACTAGTCTTGCTTTCTTATTTGGCACTCATTAAAACAAACCTATAGCTCTCTATAACTATCTATCCATATGTATATATGACATAAATATATATGCATCCAAATTTTGAAAAGCCTATAAAAGATATGGGAATGATTATATTCCACCTACTTTCCAGACTCTCTATGAATATTTTCCTTCAACCCCCACTGACTTGCGGAATAGATGCTCAATGAATATTTGATTAAAAAACCTCTGGTGACATGAGAATTACATATTACACTAATAAGCATCTCATAAAAGCTATATTAAAAACAGTTCTTCAGTATTACAACACATGAAATGGGAGAATGATTAAAAGCAAACAATTTTTCAGTCTTACAACTAAACCCAAAGAAGTGATGGAGTATAGTGAATAACAGTAATGGTACTGGAGACAACCAGCTGAATTCTAATCTAGGTCTATGATATAATTATCCACGTAATCTTAGGCACAGTTTATATACCCTCTCAGTGTCTGTTTCTCAATTATAAAAGTGACATAAAATATTACCTATCTCCTAACTCACTGTGAGAGTAAACAGGTTAGTATAGTGAGTATACCAGGACTTAGCACATGAGAAACACTAGACTTGAGTCAACAGTGTAGCAGCAGTGGTGCCACTATCATCAGAATCCTTGGGTATTTTAAAAATAGAAATAAAAATAACAACACCTTTCATTCATTGCCTCCTTATAGATACAAAGCTCTTTTTCCACAGGTGCAGACCAGTAACATAAGGAACTAAAAGTTCCACTTTGAGCACATAATTTTTCATCTTGGTTTTGCCATCAGCCAGTGATATGATCAATGACAACTAAATAACTATAGGCAAGTTATTTCAACACTCTACACTTTAATTTCCTAATTCCCAAAATTTAATAAACCACCTATATCCCAGGAATGTCCTGAGAAATAAATATCAAACACATGCTCAGCATTCTGCCAAGCTAATGTCTGTTCCTTCTTTCCCACATTTCACAAGGAATATCCCAATAAATCCTCACACCACCATTATGAAGTTCATATTAGACAGTAAACATTAAAACTGCCAAACACTGGCAATTTCATATGTTTCAACCTGGCACTATTACAAATGGAGAAAATAACCTCATAGAGATTGAATGATTTACTAAACAGTATATGCTTAGTGATGGTTAAATAATTTTTCATTAGGCCAACCTCACTAATTTTTTCAAAGAGAGACACTGACAAAGGGAGAAAATGTATACTAACCACTATAATACATGCAAAGCTAACATAACCCACAAATTTTTGTTCTACCATATTAAAAATGAGAAATGAACTATTTCTAAAATCTTTTCAATTACAAAATTATTTGTAGAGCATCTATGTGTGTGTTGGAGGTAACAGATTTAGAGAAAATCAGCAGAAGGTATATTAAAGGAAGTATGTGTGTAACTACACTAATTCAAAGGGTGCAATTGGATCTAATTAGAAACCTCACTAATTAGAAACTCCATGAAGCAAGTGAACATCAAATAAGCATCTTGATGGAAGGTTAGATGTATTCAATACATCACAGAGCAGGTGGTTAATGAAACACAAAAGGAAGAGTTACATCAAACACTTTGGTTCACAAGAGTATGTATTCACTAATACATAACATTATTGTACTAGAAAAAATGTAAAAACTTCCTCTAATAGTAAGAAATACACTATTGTAGTAAAATTATGTAACTGTTGACTTTATTTCTATAAATTCTACAAAGGTTTTAGAATTAGATCACATAAACCAGATTCGGAATACAATTTCTGTCCAAACATGAAAAGTCCTATAAAAATGCACAGTATTAGTAAATAAATAACAAATGTTAATAGAACAAGGCCCCATAAAACTGGTGAAATATTTAACAGTATCAAATATTTACTCTGATTATCTACAAACCTATTCTGCATCTTTTCTCCTTGATTCGTCATTCACCATTTTAAAAAGAAACTGCATGAATAAAACAAGGATAACTAGCAGAAACTAGGTCTTTCAACAGATTTACAATGGTACAGTTTTGTTTAAATCCTCTTATCGGTCTCTCCTCCAATTATGCAATCATTTCACAGCAAAAGATTGCATGGCTCTTTCCACACACTGAAAGGAAGGAGGTTGGGGAAAACAGTGGAGTGTTTAACAGGTAGCCCGGGAACAGGCAACATTTCCGTGATATTAAATTGTCTTTCGGGAATCGATATTAACTCAGCGCCTCTTGGTTTTCAAGACCTTATCCTTTTGCCATTACAGATACTGTTTTAATCCCCGTAACAACTGGAAACTCTTCACTTGCTGCAAAGTCCATCTAGCAACATCACCTCTCCTCCCACTAAACTGGCTTTTCCGCGGGCAGTGGGGGCGAGCTGTCAAAACTAGGAGGGCAGTGTCCTTACAACTACATCTGAGCAGCTCGTCTCAATTCCCCAGAAAAGTGAGGCTGAGCTGAGCTCCCTGCTAAGGCGGGACTCCACCGGGTTTCGTCGAAACCTCCCGAGGGTGACCTCTACGCCTCGACACCGTGCCTCGCAAGTCTTTTACTAAGACGGGGGCATGGTAGAACCCTCGCTGCACAACCACTGGTTCATTCCACACCAGCTGCCGCGCGGCGTCCCGTGATGCGACCCGCTTCCGACTAGTTCGGGAACTGTCTTTTCACCGGCTCCGCGACAGCAAGAAGGGCTGCTCCCGCCCGCCGACAGGTAACTAGGTTCCGGGCTCTCAGCCTCTGGCGCTCGGGACCGCGCAGTTAATGAGTAATGCGCCCGAGTCTAGGAGCAGGGGAGAGCCGCACCCCGACGTCCAGCCGCTGCTCAGGGGGAGGCCGGCCGACCAAGCCCCCAATCCCGCTGCTGGGGTGGGAAGGTCCTACGGCCCTCGTGCCCAGGCGAGGAGGCGCTCGCCCGGCCAGGGCAGCAGGGCCGTGTACCCGCGCCCTCCGCCGCGCTGGCACCAGCACCTGCAGCGGTCGCCCCTCCCGGCCGGCTCGCGGGAAGAGGTGCGCGGGCGCCGAGGGGGGCGGTGCTCCACGCCCCGGGCCTCTCCCTCCCGCGGCCGCACTCACCTGACGAACCCACGGCGGCCGCTGCCCGTGCTCAGGGGCGTTCGCAGAGCTGCAGGGAGCGCGCCGGGAGGCAACAAGAAGCCGAGAGGGAAGGCGGGCCAACGCCGCTACACCCCGCGGCGGCGGGCGCTCTGCGTTGGGTGCCGCCGAGGGAGCGCGGGACTGCGCCTGCGCCGGGAGCGGGACCGGGAGCCGGGAGCGGCCGGTCCCCCGGGAAGGAAGGCGGGGCTGGGGCGGGGAGGGGCGGGGCGTGGGGCCTCGGGGGCGACGCGCTTCCGCGCCCCCTGGCGCCAGGCGGGCTCGTCGCAGGTTCCCCCGCACTGGCCCAGGTGCCTCCGCAGGCGGTTTCCCTGGGAACGACCGCCAGATACCCTGCGGGATGTTTCCCGAAGGAAGAGGCGACCTCTGGGTAACTTCCAGCGTGTTGGGCTCGTTAGGAGTCGGAAGAAGCACCTTCACTGTGAGTTGAGTACTGCTGGAATCAACCTGAGACTTGGCTCCCATACACACCTTATAACGGGCGTGGGGGGAGGGAATCCTGACAGAACCCAGAACCCACATCCCCTCGTTCCAGCCGCTTCCAGAGTATTCGAGAACGTCGTTTCTGTGCCAGCCTTCTCTCTCTTATGTGAACTGTTTTATTAAACTTCCACCCTACTATAAGAACTCCAAGTGGGAAAAGTGAAAATACAGACAAGAACCAAGCTTTTAAAAGTGTGACAAAAGAGAGACCGTCACCATCTGGTCTCTATGTATAAAGAAATACATACAATCCATTGATCCATATTGAACAGGACCATCATTCCGTGTATTGGTCACATTTTGAAGTAAGAAAAGGAGGTTATGTATATGGCTGTTAGAATCAGAATTTCTCGCTTTGAATCTACTACCATCACTATCCCCCTGTGATGTTGGGCAAATTAATCTCTTAATAGCCTCAATTTTCTCACTAATAAATGAGTATAATAAAAATACCTACATCCCTGGATTGCTGAGTTTAAATGATATGAAATAGATTCATGTAAAACATTCAGTGTACTACACAAAGTGCTGCATATTAGCTATTATTATTAATGACGTTACTATTATCATCTACCTACAATCCAATAAAGACCTAGGAAGTCATTTTATACTCCAGTCAAGTATATTTTTACTCCATCTGCAGTATATTACTGAAAAACTGAATTTGGGGGCCCTCATCTGAAACTGGGAATGGCTTTCTCATGCTGAAAGTGAGGCTGGAGAGGCTAATAATCCCCACCCTGAAAGGCATCAAAGATGATGGGAGTACAAATTGTCCTTGGTGCCAACACAGGCTAACTAAACCTACATCTATACATTTCCTGCCTTTTTCACTTCCCTGCCTCTTCTCCTTTAAAGTCTCTGCTAATTTTCAGGGATTTCCAAGACAGAACTTTTGAAACAATTAGGTTTTGTCTATCTTCCTTCAAAGCTGGCTTTGAATAAAATGTATTTTCTTACCAAATTAACTCCAAAATTTTCTGGAGTAGCAAGCAACATGGCCTAGCTTATTTCTTTCCAAGGCAGTATTCGAGTTGCCTAGTAATATTACCAAGTCCTATGCATTCTAATGTCCAAATAATTCTTAAATCTCTCGTTTCATTCACTGCCTGCTAGTATGACCTTCCTCATTCATGGACTGTTAACTCTTCTTCCTTATATTATATGGTTGGCCATTCATTCAGCACATATTTATTGCACTCCATTTTTGTGCCTTCTGCTTGGTGTGGGGGCAAAAAATCATTACAAATAGCACCCCCTCCCATCCAAAGACTCAGAAGACAAGTATGTTAATAACAAGTGGAATGAATAAACTCAACATACAATAAACTTCTTGGGTTCCCCAGTCTTGCAATATCCTCATTATGTCACTGTCTTTGCACTTTTTCTTTTCATAAAATTATGTTCTGGTCACTGGCCTTCTCTTTACTTAGATAATTCCTGCTTATCCTTCCAGACATCAATTCCATTGTGAACCTTTTACCGTTGCTTGCCACTCAGCCCTGTCCCACCAATCCCAATATGGGCTCATTGCTCCTACCTGTGAGTCTATAACACCTGATCTCTTTTTTTTAACTTGATTAAACAATTTATTCAAGTTAATGGTAAGCAGCAAAAGTACAAGTCCATGAAAAGTTCCATATGTTACATATTGAAACCGCTTTTCACTGTCTTTACCTGTAAGGTGTTCAAGGTGGGACTCATTCCTGAATCTTCTTTCTGGTGGTGGAATAAGGTACATACTGTTCTGGAGTGCCACTCATGTTGAACTTCTGGTTTCCAAATGAATTTATGAACAGTAGGTGGTTTTGTTGTTGGAGGATCATCAGTCATACAGTGAAGCCAATGATGCCAAAAAAATTGCTTGTTGTCCTTGTAGTATTTGTTTCCATATTTGTCTTCCCCCACTAATGTACCAATTCTCACATCATTTGCTCTGAAGAAAATTCATAAATAGCCACAGAGACCATCATGGCCACTAACCTGCTGCAGCCCACACTTCAGGACCTGCAGCAACTCCATCTCACCCTGCACTTTCCATATAGAATTTTAATAGTAGTTTTATTTCTCGGTTTTCCTAACAAGACTGTGAGCTTCTTGAAGACAGGCCCAAGGCCTGACTGAAGTAGTGATGGCCAATAAGTGCAGAGTGAATGAATGACATATATGCAGAGTTCACTATCTTGGTTCTACATAAGACCTAAGACATCATGCATGTTATGGTTTAGATATTAGATGTCCCCCAAAAGCTCATGTGAGAGACAATGCAAGAAAGTTTAGATGTGCAATGATTGGGTTATAAAAGCCTTAACCTAATCAGTACATAAATCTTCTGATCCAGCTAGGGATTAACTGGGTGATAACTGAAGGCAGGTAGGGTAGGTAGGGTGTGGCTGGAGGATGTGGATAATTGGGGATATATTTTGTCCTTGGTAAAGTGATGTCTTTCTTTCCCCTCTCCCTTCTCTCTTCTCCCCTCTCCCTCTTCCTCCTGGTGCCATGTCTTGAGCTGTTTTTCTACCACACACTTCCACCATAATGTTCTGCCTCACCTGGGCCCCCAATTGGCTTCTGTGGACTAAGACCTCTGAATCCATGAGCCCCAAAATAAACTTTTCCTCCTCAAATTGTTCTTGCCAGGTCTGTTGGTCACAGCAATCTAAAACAATGCATCTACAAGAAACAGTAAGCAATAGCCATATGCCTGAGCCATACATTGGTCTATTTGCAAACCACCTACCATCTATAAGCCTTTTGAAATGTCCTTAGAGGTGTTTCCCTTTAGATATTTAAATTGCTAGTGCAGTTTGAGAATGAGAAGAGTAATATGGGTAGTTGCTGTTAATAACAATGCCTCACCATTGTAACACAGAGACCAAAATACATTACATAATGTTAGACACTCAGAATCTTAACCTGTAAAGTATATTAAGTATTGTGAGTATCCTAAGTTAGGTGGCTTACCCATATTAAGGGACAAATGTAACTTAAAAAAAATAGATTTTGTAATATGCTCATTTGACTTCTTTCCCTTTCATTAAAAAATATACAATTGTAGTAAAATACAATATATAAAATAATATTGATTAATTTTTTATCTTAAGATTTTCCCATTCATACATAGGCCAGAAAATAATGAAGTACAGAGAAATTTTAAATTAAACAAATTATACTAACATTGTTACCCTAGTTGTTTGTTTCAAAATTAAAAATTTTTGTATATTTTGCATGGTACTTTGTAGTTTCAAATTGACTTTGCATAGAATCCTTTACCAAAATAACAATTGGACACAGGTGAGAAGTAGTCATTTACAGGTGGGGAACTTAGAGTTAAGGTCCTGGTCTTTAGAATACAGGTTTATATCTTACAAACTCAGTTCAAACTCTTAAAAAAGCAGATTGAACTTCCATGAACAGCAGTATGGCACAATAGAGACTCTGGCAGAATCCCCCACCAATAGCAATTCAAAGTACTGAATAAAATGTATAAAACACCTTATCAAACATATCAGTGAGTTGGTAAGAACATAAATGACCCTAAAGGCAAAAACTATGTAAAAGTAGAAATCCAGACAATAAATAATAACAATGTAAAAATGAAAAAAAAACTGGTTATGGAGGAAAGTGTGTGAACAACAATCATTTACTTGTCTAGCCCAATAGTTACATGTAGTCTAGTGCTTGTATTCCCATTTTTTAAAAAAAATTGCTTTTGCAACTCCTGTACAAAAGCAGAACTAGGGGCTGGGAATACAGCCCAGTGGTAAAGCACATATGTAGCATGGTCAAGGCCCTAGCTCTAATCACTAGTACAAAAAGGAAAAGAAAAAAGCATTGTCTCTGCATTGTCCTTCATTAGATCAATTAGAGACAGCTGGACATTTTAGACCCCTTTTCTGATGTTAAAATAAACGGAGTGGGGAAAATTTAGAGGCTGACAGAAAGGGTTGAGAGGTTAGACTATAAAGAGTTTCTCTTTTAAAAAATCACTTTAACAAACTCCAAATATATAAGAAAATGTTTTGGGAATTGACTTCAGATCTGGTTTATCACACACACTCAAATTGCCATCCATTAAGCAAATGTTTATTTATTGTTTCTCTGTGCCAGATATATAAATAATCTGCAGTAGGAGGAAGAGAAGAGATGAAACACAATGAGAGCACATCCCAGCTTCTCCAAAGTGTTTCAGTCCCAGGCCTCAACCTATTCCTAATCTTCCTTCATTCCTTCCCACATGTTCAGTGAGAAATCATTATGTCCTTAAAATAACCCCCCTCCCCCTTTTTTTGCTTAATACAGATTTGACTGGATCCTTTACTGAACCAGCAGTGAAAGAAGGGGGAAATTTTTCAATACTAATTCAAAAAAAAAAAAAAAACAAACAGTGGACTGATCTTGCTTCTTTCATTGGGTGTGTTTGTGATTTAAGCTTTGTAAGAAAGCTTTTCCTGATGTAAGAATAGAAATTATCATGGTTGTCAACATTCTTCATGCCTTGCTCTTAACCATCAGCCATCTGGACATAGACAAAGCAGTGTATGCAGTTTGGGTTTATTTTAATGCAGTCAGAAGGTAGATTATGGAAACTTGTTAATGAGATGTTTTAAGGTCAAAGACTTGGGGAAATAAAGGGCTCTCAGAGGCCCAAGGTACTAA